TTAATTTTATTTCATTGCATGAGAGATCTTATTAAGCCTACTTTACAGATGAGGAAACTGAGGCTCAGAGAAATTACATGACTTGCCCCAAGGTCCCAGGGTGAGGAAGTGGTAGGGCCAAGACCCACGTCTGTCTGACTCACAAATCTGCCCATGGAGTCAGTTCAGTCTATGGGTTTGGTTTGCCCGTGTCTCCATTTGTGTGTTTACATGAAGGGTGTGTTCCCATGTACCCAGAATGGGAAAGCATTTATATTTGAAGAGGGATGTGCTGTGGGATTAAGTGGGAGTGCAGGTGTGTCTGTTTTACTGGACAGTGACTTCTATTTGTGTCAGTATTAGGGTCTTTGGATGTGTGTGCACAGTGTAAGGGGTTTTAGTGGGTGTATTGGGGAAGGGTAATTATGAATATGGGTAGGAAGTATGTGTTGGGGAGACAGGAATGGGATATTTCTGTTGGTGTGTGTTTTCTCTTTTATATAGGATTTTAATTTTATATATGCTGAAAGAGCTCTTTTAAAGATTTTTAAAATATATATAACTCTTAAATTTTTTATTGAGGTATAAATTAATTTTAAGTGCCAAAATCTAAAGTGTACAAGTAGATGGATTTTTATATATGTACACCACCCAGATCAAAATATGAAACAGATACAGCAGCCTCAGGAGGAGCTCCATCATTCCCCTCTCAATCAGTACCCCCCAAAATTAGCCCTTCTATCATCCTAAGTTAGTTTTGCCTATAATTTAGCATCTTCTTTTTTTTTTTAATATATATTTTTTATTGATTTTTACAGAGAGGAAGAGAGAGTTAGAAACATCGATGAGAGAGAATCATTGATCAGCTGCCTCCTGCACACCCCTTACTGGGGATGTGCCCGTAACCAAGGTACATGCCCTTGACCAGAATCGAATCTGGGACCTTTCAGTCCACAGGCCGACGCTCTATCCACTGAGCCAAACCGGTTTCGGCAATTTAGCATCTTCTCAATGGAATCACGCTTTCTGTTTAGGCAGGTTAATAAGCTAACATTGGACAAACTTTGCTTTGTGTGCTAATACTTTCAATGTCTCACTGAATTTCTCAAAATGGCTAAATAAGGTAGCACCTATTTATCGTTCCCAATTTACAGATGAGGAGACGGAGGCTGAGAGAGCGCTTATGACTTGCCCTGGTTCCCTGAGAGCCAGGATCTCTCTGACTCCACAGCTCTGGTCCTTGCCCCCTAGACCATCCAACCATCCACTAGGTACCCTGCCAAAGAAGTGGCTGTTAATTGGGTAGAGAGAGAGCAGCAGGCAGACCTGGGCACCTGGGTGTATTTTATCTTCTGAGGAGCCGGTTTCTCTGGATCTGTTGTGGGACCTCTCCAGTCCTGTTTGCTGGGTCAGGAACTAGCACCGGCAGCCCAAACACCACTGTGCTGCGGAGACACCCCAAGCCACGAGGGTTGAGTTCTGGCTCCCAGACTTATTTGCTGTGTGACTGTGGGCAAGTTGCCTCCCTCTTTGAACCTCCATGTCTTCAACCTTTAAAAAGAAGGTACGTGGTTCAGGCGGTAAACAGATGGAAGGTGTCACCATATAAATCACTACAGCTGTTGTTTTTTAAAAATTCTTTTTATGGTAAAATAAAACACAAATACAGAAAGTCACATAAAATAAATGTAGAACCTAATAAGGTGAACCACTGGCAACCACCAGCCAGATCACGAAATGGAAGCCTTTCAAATGTCCCATCCCATAATAGCCAGACTTTTACTAGGAGTATCAGTTAATAATGTGGATTTTTTTCAATAGATGGAGTTACACATTTGTTGATATTTATGCGACTTGATATGTATGCTATTTTGTTGTATTGACAGCAAGCTTAAAAACTTCATATGTCAAACTTGCTGAAGGTGTCAGCATCATAGATATTTTTACACTTAAAAATGTCAAATTTCATGCCAAAAAAAAAAAGAGCATTTGCAGGAAGTTTTAATTCATTATTTTGCTGCTAAAAGTTACTGTATAATTCAGGAAGCTTATGGTGAACATGTTCCCTCTCAAGATAATTGTGAATACTGGTTTAAATGCTTTAAAAGTGATGATTTCAAAAAAGAAGCACACAGACACACACACAAGAAATAAATAAATAAAAACAAAAGTGATTATTTCTATGTGAAAGACAAAAAAAATGTCCAATTCAACCAAAAAAGTTTAAGACCAACAATTGCAAGCATTATTGGATGAAGATGCATGTCAAACTCAGAAACAACTTGCAGAAAGATTAAACATTGCTCAGCAAACAATTTCCTATCATTTACAAGCAATGGGAAAGATTTTAAAGGAAGGAAAATGGGTGCCAGATCAACTAAACGAAAGACAAATGGAAAACGGAAAAATCATCAGTAAAATGTTGCTTCAACAGCACAAAAAAAATGTCTTTTTTTGCATCGAATTGTAACTGGTGATGAAAAGTGGATTTATTTTGAGAATTCCAAATGCACAAAATCACGGGTTGATCCAGGTCAACCATCGACATTGACTGCAAGGCCAAATCGCTTCAGAAAGAAGACACTGTTCTGCATTTGGTGGGATCAGGAAGGTGTTATTATGAGCTTCTAAAACCACTTACTAGTTAATAATGCAGATACTGGTTAATAATGTGGATCGATCATTTACCGGTTAATAGTGCATATTTTGTAATCAAAGAAAACATGATAATTTCAAGAGAAACATCAAAAGTGCTTTATTCAAAGTAATGTTCTTCACTAACTACACATTTCCCCCATCTTTCAGGTAACCTGTGGATACCATCCCATAGAACTTTTCTTGTTTTGAGGCAGACCATTCAGAGACCCTACTTTCCATCTCTTCGTATGTTTTGAAGTGCTGCTCAGAATGTGTGTGCCATCGATTGGAACAAGTGGTAATCTGAAGGAGCAAGGTCTGGTGAATACGGCGGGTTTGGTTTGCCTGTGTCTGAACCACCTTTCTCAACTGGCAAATGAGGAAGTGACTGAGAAGATTCCCAAGGCCCTTCCAGCTTTCTCAGTGTCCTCTCTCAAGCACCAGGCTCCTGTTTCACAGTCTTCTCAGAAGCAACTGTTGCAAGGTAAGGATCAGAGAGACCTAGTATTGGGACCCAGTTTCCACTGGGATTAGCTGTGTGAACTTGGATGAGTTCCTTAATCTCTATGAGTTTCCACTTTCTCCTCTGTAGAAAGAAGAACTAACGGTAGTGAGAAAGTATGAACTAAAGGTAGTGACCAGCCAGGACATTCATCTCGGTTGCCCCTGATTATTTCATGCCTCCACCTTCTAACATTTTTATCCCCTGGAAACCTGCCTTAGTCAATGAGGACACAGAGAAGGTTCCACCTGGTGGAGCGGACAGGGGTGTCCCTGTATGTTTTCCTCCAGTGTGATTTCTGGTTTTCTGTGGATGTGTGAACATGCAGGACAAGAGATGTAAACTTTGTACGCATGACGGAACTGCAGGGTTGTACCTTCTTCCATGTCTGTCTCTGGGAAGAGACAGTGTAACTGGCCTGCCCAAGGGCCTATCCCACCTCAGCTACCTACTGGATGATGTGATCCCAGATAAATGACTCACCTCTATGTGCCTCAGTTTCCTCATGTATATACAAATGGATATAATGACAATAGTACTGTCTGGATAGGGATGCTCTGAAGATTAAATAAGCTTATTCACAAAAGTGATTAAAACAGTGCTGGGCACTGAGATAGGGGCAAACACACACAACTTATATGTGTCAGATATGATTAAATGTGAAAAGGGTGGGTGCACAGTGGAAGGGGTGCACAATAGAAGGCATCTCAGGGGATGGTGGAATGGACTGTCTGATGTGGGGGAGGAGGATGTGCTTGTGTGATATGAGAACAGTGAATGCGTGTGCATTCTATAAAAGTGTGAGGATAGTCACTGTCAGAACCCCAGTTACCACACAAACAAGCTCTAGGCCCTATGGCAAGTCTCTGAGGCTCTGTGTGCCTCAGTATCCTCATCTGTACCATGGGTGGGGTTACTACCTCAAACTTAGCTGTGAGAGATGGATATGATGCTCTGAACCAATGCAGGTGCCGGCCACATGGGAGAAGTTCATGGTAAGCATTCAGAGAGAGTGGGCACAATTCTTGACACTCCTGGGATCTAAGCTCCCAGGCTGTGTCCTCCTCTGGGGGGCTGCAGAGCTCCCCCTGGTGTACCACGCATCCCAGCTGCTGTAAGCAGAAGAGCCCTAGTCCAGTTTCTCCAGTGGGGCATCTGAGGCCCAGAGAAGGATAGGGACTTGCCCTGGGATACCCAGCATATTGAATATCCCCAGAGATGGGGCTAGATTGGAGCCAGTCTCTCTTCTCCTTCTGGGATGGTCTTGCTCTTTTCCTTTCTGTTTCTTGATTTTCTTTCTCTCTGCAGAGGTCAGTGTTGGCAGCTCCCATCGCCCACTGCTCTGCCTGCCCCACCTTCCCCAGCACTCAGCCTGGGCTGGGGGAAGCTGCTCCAGAAGGAAGGTGTGTGGCAGCAGGCCCTGTCTGGGCCATGGAGGCTGGAGCCGGGTGGCTGCCTAGAGTGAGAATCCCGTGTGCCTGCGGAGGACCCCGCGTGGGTAGTCCAGTCCCAGCTTCCAGCCCTGCATCACCACCTGGTGCTGCCTGGGGCTTCTCAGAGGTCACTGGAGGAGGAGGCTGAAGACTCACAAATACTTCAAATTTTTTTTTTATGTAACATCTTTCTTGTAAGTCTATCCCCCTCTCATAACAAAAGTATTGTGTATTATTCATGGAGAATACAATTAATCAGAGAGGAGGAAATTAAACTTTCTTAACTCAGAAGGACAATAGTAAAGGAGCTTTTGAACACACACACACACACACACACACACACACACAGACGCACACGTACATGCACACACACACACGCACTGTGTGTGCCAGGACCTGTCCGAGTGCTCCACAGATGTTAACTTTTCTAGCCCTTGCAACAGTGCTCTAGGTAGGTCCCATTTTGACAGCTGAGACACAAAATGGTTGAGTAACCTGCCCAAGGACACCAAGTTAGGGATTTGAATGTTTAACTAATGAGGATGCTCTGAGCAGCATTTCAGTGAATACTTCTATACAAAAGATGGCGTCCTTTTTACATACACACAGGGCCCTGCTGTCAGACTTGGACTTGAATCCTTGCCTTGTGGCAAATAGGCTGGCTTGACTTTCGTTCCTTCACCTCTATGGGACTTGGTTTCTCTATCTGTAAAATGGAGAGCTGTCATGTATGCTTCTGAGAGTTGGCTGAGCTTGTATATGAAGCACTCAGTCCGGGCCTGGTGCTCATGAGACAGGCCATGTTAGCAGCCTGCTCGGAGGCCAGTGGGCTATGTAGGGGAAACAGTCAGAAAATACACTGGATGCAGGGTGGCCTTAATATGTTGGGATCTAGAAGGCAGAGAGAAGCCTCTGGGTCTCCCAAGGGGGTTGATATTTCCTCCTGGAATCCCTGCCATTGCCACATCCCTACCCTGACCAGCAGCCTAGCCCCAGCCCTGCACACTCCAGATGGAAGTGGGAACAGCAGAGGCTGGAGAGGAAAGCCAGCAAATGGGCAGTGGGCGGAGCCTCCTGCTCAAGTCTGGCCTGGCTGGAAGGGGAGGGGGCTGTGGGACCGGGCGCGTCAGATGCCATCAGCTCAGCGGGGACCGTTAAAGTCGCTGTGCTGCCAGGCGGACCAGGGTGTCTGCAGAAGTCCCCTGCCTCCTCTTCGGACACCTCCTGCCTCTCACCTGGGCTGCCTGTCCTGGGTATGAGCTCCTGCTGCATGGTCTCTTGCACGCCTCTCTCTAGTTCTCTTCTCAAGTCTGTTTCTCTCCCCCTCTTCTCTGTTCTTTTTTCCCCTTTCTCTCTCTCTACCTTTCGTTCTTTCTCCCCCAGTTCCCACCCCACCCCCACGTTCTTTCTTTTTCCTCTTATCATCATCTCTCATTCTGTCTTGTACCTTTCTACCTTTCTATATCTTTCATTCAGTTCCTCTGTATCCTTTTTGGTCTTGCTCATTTTTCTGTTTCTTGTTTTTCTTTCTCTCTGCCTCTTTCATTCTCCGCATCTGCTTCTCTCTGTGTCTTGCCCTCACTGCTGAAAGTGCAGCAGCTCAGAGACAAGAGAGCCCTCACTAAGCTTTGGGGAAGGTGGACCCTGCCCCTCTGAGGGCTTTGAAGGAGCCCACCTTAAGCAGGATGGGTGAAGAAGGCGGCTAGGATGGGGGGGTGGGGGAGATCTTTCTTCTGGGCTGGTGGGATGGAGCCCTGGCTTTGAAGTGGTGGCACCATCTCACCCCAAGTCCTGATCCAGGTTAGCTACTGTCTGGGCATTTCTTCCTATTGCCCCATCCACTCAGTCTGCTGGGGTGGGAAGGGCAGGGTGTTGGGCCAGAGCTGAGTCAGCGGGTCTTCACTAAGTTCCCAGGGTTAGCATCCTCTGGATGGCAATGCTGGAGAACACTCAGGGTTTGGTGCCTTTATACTCACCCCCTCCAGGCAGCCAGCTCTGACTGCACAAGGCAGACGTGTGACCCCTTCAGCCAGCCATGCCCCCGCTGCCCAGCACTGTGGGCCTGGCAGTCCTGTTCTTCTGGACAGGCCAGACAGTGCACACCTTGATGCCCAATGCCACCCTAGAGCTGGCTTGGACCAAGGGCACAGCAGTGCACTCCCTGAGTGGCCTGGGGGTGCCCCACTACCGGCGGAAGCACCACATCTCTGCCCGGGACATGAGTGCCTTACTGGATTATCACAACCGCATCAGGGCCAGCGTGCACCCACCAGCTGCCAACATGGAGTACATGGTGAGTCCCTGTGCTCTCCCCCGTCCCCCTTCCAGGAAGCACCACTCGTCTCAACCTGTCTTGGAAGGGCTGGACCATTCACCACCCTGGCCCCACAAGCCAACATCTGGGTGTCTAGACCATGTGGAAAGGGCAGGATTTAGTCTGCCCATTTGATGGATGAGGGCACAAAGGTGATTGATTATGCAGGGCCTTTGGGGAGTCAGAAGCAGAGGACTGTTATTTATGGAGCACCTACTGTACGCCAGGCATTTCACGTAACCCTAAGGATACTCTTCCTTAAAGGTGGGAACTGACATCTTCATTTTCCAAATAAAGAAACTGAGATGCAGATAATTAATTTGCCCAAAGTCACTCAACTTTGGAGCCCTGGCTTTGAAGTGGTGGCACCATCTCACCCCAAGTCCTGATCCAGGTTAGCTACTGTCTGGGCATTTCTGCAAAAGGCCATTGTCTTAGTCAACACAATATGCTGCCCAAGAATTCTGGCTCCCCTCCTGGGGAACTGCAGAAGGTGGGGGCTATTGTCTCTCTGCCCCAGGGGTACGATGGACATCCCAGACCATCCTCAACAAGCCATGAAGGTAGAGTTTGGAGCTGTGGGGGCTGGTACCCGAGGTCTCTAGCTGAGGAAAACCAGCAGCTGATGGTGAGAGGAAGCTGGGATGTCTGCTCTCAAAGAGCCGGGGCTGGTGGCTCTTACCCCAGCTATCCAGAGTGAAGGAGGAAACTTTTCTCTTTCTCACAGCCCCTCCTCTGGGACCATTGTCCCAAACCAGTCTGGAGACATAAGCTTCCAGCCCACCCCCAGATTTCTTTAGGGAAAGAGATTGCCAGTCCCACCCCCCGACTTGCTGCACAACAGCCTGCAAATTCTTTTGCAACAGTCGATGATGCACTTCTTAGTACTTACTAGTGCCTGTTTGGAGTCAGGCACCATGCTGAGCCTCCTGGACACTACCCAGAACAGAATGGACAAATGCCCTTCCCTCCTGGAACTTACATTTTAGTGAGGATGTTAGAAAACAAACATCAACAAAATATATATAGAATATAATGACAGGTAGTGAGTGATACCGTGTGGGGAGGGTTGGAGACAGAAGCAGAAACGGCAGGCAGCTAGATGGGGAGAACATTTATTTGTTCATTGACTGACTCATTAACACATCAACTGGCACATAAAAGGCCCTCCATTTTCAAGCAAATGACACATTTATTGAGCACAGGTTGTGTGTGCAAAGCACTCACTTCAGCAGGTGTTTACATAGTTAGGCATGCAGTATAGAGCAGAGAGAAAGAGATGTCTCACTAAGGACACGGGGAGGGTTGGTGAGTGTGGGTCTGAGTGACCCACTGCTCTTCTTTCACTCAGTCATTCAACAAAGTCACCGAGCAGGTTGGTAGCAGAGCGATTTTCCTTCCCCCGCCTCATGTCTTCCATCTTTTCTGCCTTCCCTTAGTTTTCTTCTTTGTAGAATGAGAGAAACATTTGTCTGCTTTCCCCCATTTCTTCTCCACTAGCTGGCTTCTGCCCACAGGACAATATCCTTGCTCTAGGAGCCTCAGCCCCAAGCAAGTCCCAGCCCATTTCACATTCTCACCCCCCCCAGGACTGTAATGATTGTTTCACATCTCATTTCCTTGCTAGACTGTGAGTCCGCAGTGCCTAGAAATACTGTGCAATATCTGCTGAAGGGACAAATGACTTCTCAGAGAACCCCAGGAAGTCAGAGCTCAAAGGGAACTAGTATTTTTTTTAAGTGATGACTTTTCAGGTTATAAAACTTGGAACATTCATACATTGCAAAATGATGAAGCTGTTATGATGGATGAGAGGGTGTTCTCTACGTACGGATGTGGAATAATCAAGTTATTAAGAGAGAAGAATAAGGTGCTGAATGGAATGTATAGCATGCTGCCATTTGTCAAGAAAGACATATATGTAGCTGGTATAATTATATATGTAATCATATTTGCTTGTACAGATCTAGAATATTTCTGGAAGGAGACACAGGGAACTCACAGCAACAGTTGCCTCTAGGGGGCACAGTGGCTGGAGGGATAAGTGTAGAATAGAGGGGAGAGACTTTCCACTTTTCCTTATTTGCACATCTTCCATGTTAAACTTGTGCATATTTTTTTATTTCAAATAATCTTTTGAATTAAGTATTTTTAAGTTAAAATAAATACATTTTAAAAACATAATATATGAAATAAAAAATTAGTTCTCTTCCCATTACCCTGGGCTCAGCCACTTCTAACTGCTGAGAACACCTGGGCCAATAAATACCCTGGAGCCCCACTCACAACAGAAAGCTCCAATCTCCAGTGAGGAGAAAGGGCACCAGACTAACCTGGGTGTGCATGTCCGTTCCTATGTGGATTTGCTGTTGACTCTGAAGTCATGGGCCTTCTCTGAGCTCAGTTTCCTAATCTGTCAAGTGGATTATTGCAGGGTCCCTACGACCAGGGGAGTCATGGTACCAGGAAAATGTGAAGTCTGGGCACTGTTGTGATGATGGTGGTGGTTCCCTGGGGAACTGCATGGCCTTTCTTTCCCCAGATCTGGGACGAGCGGCTGGCCAGGTCTGCTGAGGCCTGGGCCACCCAGTGCATCTGGGCCCATGGGCCCTCACAGCTGATGAGATACGTGGGCCAGAATCTTGCCATCCATTCTGGCCGGTAAGTGACCCTCTGCCCTTCTTCCTTCAGTCATTCAACAAGGTGAAGAGCATGTTATGGCAGAGTGACTCCCCCCAACTCCCTGTGTCTTCCATCTTCTCTTCCTCCCAGGTACCGCTCGGTGGTGGATCTCGTGAAGTCTTGGTCTGAGGAGAAGCGGCATTACTTGTTTCCAGCCCCAAAGGATTGCAACCCACAATGCCCCTGGCGCTGCAGTGGCCCTGTGTGCTCCCACTACACTCAGGTACCCCTTTGTCGGCACTAAGGGCTGATGGGAAAACAAATCCTGGTCCCTTAGAAGAAAAACCATGTGGTAGAACAGAAACTAAAATAAAACAGAGCCCCCTGTGGACTTCCTCTTACATAATAAGCATGTTCCTGGGAAGTTGAATTGAGATGAACTGGATTTGGTTTTGAGTGTCTTAGGTGTGCTGAACAGATTGTTTGACCTCAGAATGAAGACGTATGGCCTGATGAGATCAAGGGTGCTTTTGAATTCAAAAGGTCCAAATATTTTCTAGTATCTATATAGTATTTTCTAAGGCTCCCTATCTCAAAAAAAGAAAGAAAGAAAGAAGGAAGGAAGGAAGGAAGGAAGGAAGAAGAAAGAAAGAAGAAAGAGAAGGAAGGAAATAAAGAAGGAAGGAAGGAAGAAGGAAGGAAGGAAGAAGAAAGGAAGGAAGGCTTAAATAAGATTATAAAAATCATGGTATATTTTGAGTATTAATATTGAATATGTTAACATTTATCACACATAAAAATACAATGCAATATAATATTGCAGGAAATAAATCAGGGACTTCTAATTGCATGTCAAATATCTTCTTTCGGTCCTCTTGGTCTCTCTATGATTCATGTGGAGTTAATGTCAAAATTCTAAATTCGAGACCCTCTTGGAAATGTAAGGCCAAAGCCAAATGCCCTTCCTGACATACCATGAAATATTCCTACCTTCATCTTAGAAACCGAGGCACAGAGTGGTTAAGTAACTTGGTCAAAGTCACTCAGCTAGTGATAGTGAGATTCTGATCCAAGGCTATTTAACTCCAAAGTTTGTATTTTAAACTCCAGCACAACAATTTTCAAACAGTGGTCATTGGGAAAAAAGAAAAAACCTAATAGAACAGTACAGAAAATATTAGCATATTTCACGTACAAGATTAAATATTGATTCGTACATTTTTTCCAATTATGTGTGTGAGGGGGTGGGTACATGGTAACAATATAAAATTTACTTCTTACTGATGGCTGTAGTAAAAAAAAAAAGGGGGGGGTGTGTGGGGGGTTGGGGGTTGAGAAACATTGTAGTACAATATACTTCCACCCCCTCACCTTGGAATAGGCAGACCTCACAATGCACCCACCTGAAGCAAGTCAGGAGCCTCCCAGCCCCAAGGAACCTGGGCCCCACTGTATCCTTCTCAGCATCCCTCATCTGTGTGCATCTCTCCTCAGATGGTGTGGGCATCCTCCAACCGGCTGGGCTGTGCCATCCACACCTGTGGCAGCATCAGCGTCTGGGGCAGCACTTGGCACCAGGCAGTGTACTTGGTCTGCAATTACGCTATTAAGTAAGTACAGTGTTGGGCAAGAGGGGGCTCTGAGAAAGGAAGGTGGATCCTGAGGTGGCATAGGCAGAATTCAAAGAAAAGGAACACACGCCTGCCTTCCTCCATTCTAAGTAACCTCAATGCCATACATTTGGGTAGGTTTAGAGTCCATTAATAATCCTTTTGCTTTACCCAAGTTTCAGAATTTATTGAAAGATAGAGGACTGAGGCAGGTGGACAGGCAGTGACACTGATGAAGCCAATAGTGAAGAACATGGTTTAGATCTGCCAGCTAAGTGGGCTTGCAGATATCTCACTGTTGAATTAGACCTGCACACCCATTGACAGACAACACTGGGCAACCACAGGCCTCTTCCTACAAGGGCAGTGCCAGCCCCTCTAAGCTTACACATGAAATAAAGCAAACCAAAACACCTGCATTCTGCAGGAAAGCAATCCCCAAAGGAAAGGCAGGAGAATTCAAATGATAATGTTCAGCTAATCAGACTTTTCAATTATTGTGGTGGGAGAGAAGACACCAGTGGTCTTCATACCATGGAATATGGAGAAAGGGAAATGGAAGTTTCTTTCCAATGTATCATATACAAACTTGCAAACATTACAGATTCTTATAGAGACAGAAACAAGAACAAATTTTAAGTAAACACGGTATTTGGAATTACAAAATTATAGAATGATAACCAACTTTTACTCTTACATAGCCCTTGATCATTTACAAAATACTTTCACTTTATTATCTCATTTAAGAGAAGAAAGAGAAAGAAGGAAGGAAGGAAAAAGGGAAGGACACTGGGAAAATATTTCCCCTTACAGGTTAAGAAATTGAGTATCAGAGAGGTAACCAGAAGTTGCAAAGCCAGTAAGTAGCAGAGCTATTTGAAGCACAAGTCTGTTGATTTCAAGCCCCATGTTGGCTCTATTCTACTATCCTGATGTTCTGGAAGTCTTTGGTAGTCTGAACATAAATTTTTCTAGCTATTTATTTGCTGTTGACAGAATGTCATATAATAACCCAGCTTTATTAGACAATGAAAAACACAATAAATTTCCAATACATACAGCTTATGGAACTCTCCAATTTGCTTGCTGATATGTCAAATTTTTGGAGCATTGAGTATTAATAACATAGTTGTTAAGATTTTTAGACTCTGGAATTAAAATTGTCAGGGTTCCAATTGTAGTTTAATTTAACTTCTCTATGACTATTACTTCATCTGTAAAATGGATGCATATCTACTTATAGGTAAGCTGACCCAGAAATCACCCCCAGGCTCCTAAGAAATTCAGAATACGTGTTGGGTCTTATTGTCATTACTAGACCTGTGTTTGATTCCCAGTGTATAATATATATATATATATATATATATATATATATATATATACACACATATACATATATATGTATATATCTTACATATAAGTTTTATTATATATATACTTATATATACTTATATATATAATAAAACTTGCTATTTTAACCACTTTTAAGTGTACAGTTCAGTGGCATTAATTACATTCCCAAAGTTGTACAATCACTATTTCCAAAACTTTATTCACCCCAAAGAGAAAGTCTGTAATCATTAAACAATGGCTCCTTATTCCCCTTCCTCCTAAAGGCCATGGTCAGTTGAAAGGATTAACTCAGGAGCAGACAGGACAGATTTGGGATAAGGCCATGGAAGAAATAAATGTCCAGCAGTGGCCATGAGGAGGCTTCATGGGCACATCCCCCATGACTGAATTACACTCATCATCCCATTATTTGAGCCCTCCTTTGCACAGAACTTTTTTTAAAAAATGTTTTTATTGATTTCAGTGAGAGAAGGGAAAGGGAGAGAGAGAGAAACCTCAATGATGAGAAAGAATCATTGATTGGCTGCCTCCCCAGCTCCTGTACTTGGGATTGAGCCTGCAACCCAGGCCTGTGCCCTACCAGGAATCGAACTGTGACCTCGTGGTTCATAGGTCGATGCTCAACCACTAAGCCATGCCGGCTGGACTGCACAGAACTCTTACAAAGTATCTTCATAATTTTTACAGATACCATTTCATTTATTTATTTATTTTTATTCAAAGGACAAAATACAATCTCAAGAAATGAGATCATTTATTCTATCACCAGTTGACAAGTGGCAGAGTCCAGGCCCAGGCCCAGAACTTAGATCTGCTTGAGTTGGGGTAAGGGGTGGTAGAAAGAATAAGAAAACCAACACTTACTGGAGAGTCAGCTATTTACCAGGCATTTACTAGGTGCAAGCACATGTGGCTGCATTATTTCATCTTCACGGCATCCCTGTGCCAGACAGTGAGGAGTCTCCTCTTGGTTGTACAGATAAAGAAAGTGAGGCTCACAGATGTGACTTGCCCAAGGTCGCACTGTCAGCTAGTGGTGGTGCCGAGATTTGGAAACCTGTGTGAAGGTTGTTCTCACAGCTCTCTTGTGTCTCTTGACCCCATCTCCCTGGGACCTTTTCTCTTCCAGGGGCAACTGGATCGGCGAGGCTCCATACAAGATGGGGAGGCCATGTTCTGCCTGCCCCCCCAGTTACCAAGGCAGCTGCAGTAGCAACATGTGCTTCTCTGGGCTCAAATCCAACCGGCTCCTGTGGTTCTAAATTTTCCCTGTGCTCTGGCGGGCCTTCAGTGGGCTTGACCCCCTAAGGGTCCCTCCCTAAAGAAGGGTCAAGGAAAAAAAAAATTTTTTTAATACATGAATTGGACTCTCTCCACTGATATGAATTTTTCTTCCTGATTCCATTTTCTAAATGTCTAGCATGTGCCAGAAGAAAATGACTGCCTTGCCTTCCTTCTTTAGTCAGTTGCATCATTCTTTTGTCTGGCCTGCAGGAAGGAGGCCTGTGTTTTCAATTGACTCACTTCTCAGAGAGCCTGGGTTGGAAGGAACAGTGGCAGCAGTTTTGTGACTCTCAGGCCTCAAACTCACAAGTCTTTGGCCATCCAATAAAAGGTATCTATTAAATAATCTTAATCCTGAAACCACCTTTATCAATCGGTTAATAGTCAACTAGCTTCTGGGCAGCCTTTGAAGACCTGTGATTCCCTCCTTGAATTGAGAACATTTTAGATCTGAATGTTAAAAAATAAATAAATAAATAAATAAATAAATAAATAAATAAATAAATAATAATTGAAATTAGCTTGTGAACACCCCACTCCTATTTCATATTACTAGAGCCACCGCAGGGTCAGCCCCCCACTTTCACACATGGGTCCATTGAGGCTCAGTGAAGAGGTGTGACTTAGAGCTGCATAGCTTGTCTGCCAAAGCACTCAGGTTGGAGTTCAGACTCCGGCCCTCCAAAGTTAGCCAGAGGAACTCTCTCTGGATCTATCCTACCCTTCTCCCTTCAGTCTGTCCACTTTAGTCTCTCCCTTTCATCTACTAGCCAGCTCTGTCCCTATCTGTCTTACTCTGTATTTCTCCGGTAGAATCTCTTTCTCATTCCCATTAACCACTTCCCCTTTCCCGACCTTTCCCCACCCAGATACCACTAACACAAAAGTTCTTTTGTCTTCAGAGATAGTAAAATTTCTTCTCAGACCTTGCCCTCCAGGTGGGGCCCACACCCAGCTGGCTGGAGAGAGTTTCAAAGACCAGGATGGAAACCGGCTCCTTTTCCTAGGGTCCTTGCATTTTCCCAGGAGTGAATTTTCTTCCATTCCCACCCCGGCCACACCCTGTGCATATCACCCCTCCATCCCCAATAAAGTCCTTTGAGATTAGTTGCCCTGGCTCTTTTTGGTCCCTCTTTTTCTCAGCTCCCAGAAGAGTCAAAGAGGAGAGAAAGGATTTGAGTGAAGAGAAAGTCAGCTCAGGAGAAAGACTAGGGAAGGGGGCTAACAACCACTCAGCCCTTACTTAACTCCAAGCACATCAGCTAGATCAGTGCATGTGTGCAATGTTTGTATAGCATTACTCCATTTTTCAGATAGAAAAAATGAGGCTTAGACTGAGTGCCCCTTTCCAAATGCTGGAAATGAGTGAAATAAGAGAAACAAGAACACTGTTGTAAGTTCATTATTCTTAGATTATAATGTTACTACTTTATTTGGGGTAGGGGTATTAAAATGTTCCTTCATTTTAATAATTGTGACAATAAATGTTAAGTTTTTAATAAAATTATTAGTGTCCTTATATTGGGAGGAGAAAAAGGCTATGTCAGTTTCACAAATGTTCTGGAAATGTAAGTGGCAACCTGAATCAATAGTTTATGTGAGGTCACATAGCTAGTAAAGAGCAGACATGGGATTCATCTGCTCTTGTTACTCCCTTGACCTCAGTATTCTGGCTTGTTAAGCTCTGGTCCAACTTGCAAACCTCTGCAGTGTATTATACTTTCTAAGATTTCCACACCCCAGTCTCATTTAATTACTCTTTTGTTCATCCATTCACCAACCAAGAAGGTTAAGAGCATAGGCTCCGGAGCCAGACTGCTTAGGTACAAGTTTAACTTAATGGTTGGGTGTGCTTGGGTAAGTTACTGTGAGCTCTCAGTCTCATCTGAAAATGAGGACACGAATAGAATCTGCCTCATAAGATCATCCAAACCATTAAGTGGATGTACTATATACATGGAAACCACTAAAAACAGTGCCTTACTCAAAATAAGTGCTATAAAACTATCAGCTCTGAGAACAGTGGCCATTGATATAGATCAGGGCTGGGCAAAATATGGCCCAAACCCAGATCTCTGCCTGTTTTTCTCAATAAAGTTTTATTGGAACACAGCCATGCTCATTTGTTTATATGTTTTATAGCAGCTTTCAGATTTCCACAGCAAACATGCATGTCTCACAAAAGCCTAAAATATTTGCTAATTAGCCCTTTACAGAAACATTGTCAACCCCTGAGATCTGTAGTGTTCTATATTCCTGGAGCTTAAAATTCTAGAGCACATGTGTCAAACACAAGGCCCGCAGGCCAAATCCGTCCCGCCAGGCCTTGCAATGTGGCCCGCACCGTGCTGTCATCACTGCACTCTGCTGCGTTTCCATCACAATGACAGTTTATGACTGTTCATTAAACCATTCGGCCCGAGATTTAGGCTGGATTTTAGATTTTGGCCCCTTCTCTGATTGAGTTCGACACCCCTATAATCTAGAGGGACAGTAAGGCATTAAACAGAAGATGAATACAAACATCCTATATAATAAAGAGCTAATTAAACCAAACAGCAGAATGACTGTCAGGATGACCTTCTGGACAAAGTCGGGGCTTCGAGGGCCAAGTCCCTTGCATGAATTTAGTGCATTGGGCCTCTAGTACTATTATAATGGCAGGCAATGCTACCTGAGTGTGTCTAAACTAGAATGGGTAGTCATGGGAGTCTTTCTGCAGAAGGATGTTTTTTTGTGAAGAAGAGAAGCTGGTCAGGCTCTGAGGCAGTGATGACAATGGGGGTGGAAAGCTGGGGGAGAGAGCACACAACAATATCAGGGATTAAAGAAGACCTGCTGGGCCGAAACTGGTTTGGCTAATGGATAGAGCATCAGCCTGCAGACTGAAAGGCCCTGGATTCGATTCCGGTTAAGGGCATGTACCTTGGTTGCAGGCAGCTGATCAATGTTTCTGACTTTCTATCCCTCTCCCTTCCTCTCTGTAAAAAAAAAAATCAATAAAATATATATAAAAAAAAAAAAAAGAAGAAGGAGAAGAAGAAGAAGAAGAAGAAGAAGAAGAAGAAGAAGAAGACGACGACGACCTGCTGGGTCTTGGGGGAAAGGGAGTGAGATGATCCTGGTGAGGGAGGCAGGGGCCAAATCATGAACAATCTTGGGGCTTCACTTGAGGAAAATGGGGAGGCATAGCAAGATTCTAGCAGTGGAGCCGAGACTGGTTTGGCTCAATGGATAGAGCGTCGGCTTGGGGACTGAAGGGTCCCGAGTTCGATTCCGGTCAAGGGCATGTACCTTGGTTGTAGGCATATCCCCATAGGGGGTGTGCAAGAGGCAGCTGATCGATGACTCTCATCGATGTTTCTAACTCTCTATCTCTCTCCCTTCCTCCCTGTACAAAATCAATAAAATATACTTTAAAAAAAAAGATTCTAGCAGTGGAACGACATGTCAGATTTGCATTTGAAAAGATAATTCTGGATATATTAATGGGGCAAAGATTTGATGAGTGTAAGAGTGGGAGCTGAGGTGGGAGGTAGGGGCATTTTGGTAATCCAGGTGAGAAATGAAGATCACTTGAACCAAGGTAATGACATTGGAAACAAAGAGAAGTGGATATGTTTTTGAGATGTTTAAGAAGTGGAATTCAAGGGGACTTTGTAATGGTTGGGTATAAAGGAATGAGAGTAGATGAACACACAATTTTATCAAGATGAAAAGTATAGGGGAAGGAATTTTTTGTGTTTTTTTTTTTTAAGATTCATTTTTTATTGATTTTTAACAGAGAGAAAGGGAGAGAGATAGAAAGCTAGAAACGTCCATGAGAGAGAAACATCGACCAGCTGCCTCCTGCACACCCCCCACCAGAAATGTGCCCGCAACCAAGGCACATGCCCTTGACCGGAATCGAACCTGGGACCCTTCAGTCCACAGACTGAAGCTCTACCTCTGAGCCAAACTGGCTTCGGCTAGGGGGAGGAATTTTGATGGCAGCAAAGAGCAAGAGTGCAATTTGGGGCATATTATATTTGAGACTAGAAGCTGGATGCATGAAGATTCATGCAAGAATGGGCCTTCCTTCCCCTGTATCTAGCCACCTTTCTGCCTTCCCAGGCTGCCCAGAGTCCCGAAGCAGCTGGGGCAGTGCAGAATGCCTGCATTGTCACCATGGCAACGATACAAGCATCCCACCCCCAGCTGCTTGGCGCCTGCAAATGCAAAATAATCCACAATTTTTGTTGGGTTAATTTGCATACTCACTCCTGATTGTCTAGTGGGTGTCACAAAGGTATGGTCAATTTGCATATTTTTCTTTTATTAGTGTATATGTCTGTGAAATATATAAGTAGCAGTATCTAGGAGGTATTAGTAGGAATTTATATGCCAGAGGAGAAATTTGGGTTGAAGATACACAATTGGGAGGCATGAGTATAAGGTATATGGGTGGCCATAAAGTCATAGGAATGAATGAGATTATGGGAAGAGAGATAATAGAGTATGGAGGGGAAAAAAACCCACAGTAAATCTAGAACTAAACCCTGAGTAATTCCAGTATTTAAGGACAGGTAGAGAAGCAGACTTGTCAAGAGATAAAGAGGAAAACAAACAAAAGACTATTGTAGAATGGATGATAAGAGAAGATGTTATTAAAAGGAGGAGGAATTAACTGTCAAATCCTGCTAGGGGTCTAGCAAAGTATCCATTGAATATTTAGACATGGGTGTCATTCTAACTTGCCAGTGAAGACTGAGAGGTGTGTGTGGAGAGGAGTGGGAGGCAATGCTATCGGTAGAGAAAATAGAGCTAGTGTAGACTGTTATTTTAAAAGTTTAGCAGCAAATGGAGGAGAGAGCAGATGTAGTAGCTGAGCTAAGAAAAGGAGTTATTGAGGGAATTTTTAAAACATATTTTTATTGATTTCAGAGAGGAAGGAAGAGGGAAAGATGGAAGCATCGATGATGAGAGAGAATCATTGATTGGCTGCCTCATGCACACCCCCTGTTGAGGATCGAGTCCACAACCTGGGTATGTGCCCTTGACCAGAATCAAACCCGGACCCTTTAGTCTGCAGACCAACACTCGATCCACTGAGCCAAATCAGGTAGTGTGAGAGAGTTTTCTTTTTAATAAAAGATATATAATCGCATATTTAAATATTGATAGTATTCTGCTTCTAAACATTTGTCCTATAGATATACTCCTCATCATGTGAGTCAAGACACAGGTATGAAGACAGTTGCTGTTGTAGTGGCAAAAGCCTGGAAACAACCTAAATATCCAGCAACAGGACACGGGCAAAATCACTTACAGAATGTTCACACGATGTTCACACAAATATACTGTACTACACAGCCACTCAACAGAATGAGGTAGGTGTGCTGATATGGAGATAGTCCTTCGATACTAAAGGTGGAGGGAGGCAGAACAGTGTGTCTAATATGTTCCCATGCATTTATATGCATTTACAT